TGATTGAGAAGCAATGTCATCACAGTGAAAAACATCTTTTATATCATCCTCATTTATCACCTCTTCTCCACATTTCTTTATAAAATCCATTAATTGGAAAACTTCACCTTTGTTTTGCAATATCCAAAAACCTTTAACATTTGTGGCTATCATCATCAAATTTAACTATTGTTCACTATACATGCATATACATATTTGGCTATGCCTCATGAGCTTGGCGACTAACAACAGGCTGTTCTGTTCAATTTTATCTTGCTTCTATTGTGCACTGTGACAATTAAGCCCGAATTGTATTAGTTTAATTATTTATTATACTTATGCCTATTTCTTGCACATGCTTAAGGCTTATCATAGTTCTGAATAAATAAATTCCCACATGCACTTAAGCTTTATTGAGGACCGGCGCGATATCTTACAGCCTGATGCAGTCTCTGTGGGTCCTAAATTCTGCGACTTAGTGCGGCAGTAAGAGCCCTGATGCTGGTTCTGGGTTTATGTCAATAACAAATCAGTTATTCTTAATTCAAATAGCAGTAAATGTAATCTTTGGATCTATGAGTATCATCAACAAAATCTATTTTTAGCATATGGAAAAAAATTTTTGGTAAATTTTTCCTCGTCAACACTTTTTAGCTCATTTAACATCTCTAATCATTGCCAAGCTTAATGACAACATAAAAGGTTACCATACTCTTTTATTATTCAATCACTAACATAAAAAAATTGTTTAGGCATTGCTACATGAGTCATTACTCACATTATCATGTTTTTGATAAACAAGCGGTGATGAAAGGAAAGTATAATAAATAATGATTCGCCAGTTTGGCGTCAGATCAATGATGTATCTATGTGGAATATTTCGGTTTGAGATGTGTGCCAAGAAGATACGCAGCACAGGAGCCAAATTACTGATCGTACAAATTTATGCTAAAATGATTGTTTCTTCAATAACAAGGTATTTTATTTAATGTCGAAGTGAAATTAAGAATCAGGACTCTCCAGATATTTTATTGTGCGCAGAGAGAGAATCAAATGTGCATACATACAGCTTACGAGGAAAACGTTGTTGGTGGTTTTGAGGTCCGGATTTCAGACTTTGTACTGTAATATGATTCTATTACAAAGTACATAAATATTTAATTAGATAATTTAAATTATTTGTTCTTTGGCTAATTTCTTTTGAATTTCTTATATTTTTATATTAAGAAATTCCTGAGTAGAGACTGAAAGCTGCTTTTATCACAGAATTTTTACATACAATGAAATTTTTGTTTTTAACGTATATTTGTGTAAGCTAACTGAAATCATTTTTTTTTTAGTTGATATACATATTAGGTCTGTACTTTTGTTCATATTACTGTAGTACATTTTAATTTGGTTTTACTCATTGAAAAGTAATCAGGATAATTATATTTCATGCAATATGAAGTGTTTTATATAAACAGGTTTCCTGTTACCTCACAATTCTTTTTCCGAATAAAATAAAGATTTATAATTTCATGTTAAAAAGTAACCTTAATTTAAATGAACACATTTTTTTAGTTTTGTAAAAGTGAGGGGGGTGATCTTCTAGCAATGAAAGGGGTGCATGGAATGAATGAATTCATGCCAAAAGTGCACGAAAACCATAATTTAGCTAAAAGATATCTGACAAAAGAATGAATGCCCCATTATTTTCACGTTTTTAATACATAGTTCAAGTCTGCTCAAAGTGTCCAAATACTTATGTGAGTTAATTTTCAGAACTTTATGAATAGATTATATCTTTTTTTTTTTTTTCAAAAACATTTTTTTTTTAAAAAAAGGTTTTAAAAATGAATAATAATAATATATGAGGAAGAAAAATAAAGTCATTTCACTAACATTTAGTAACTAGTATTTGATAATAAAACTGAAAAACACAAGAATCAGAAAACAAATGTCAGCCACTGTAAGAGTTTAATAAATGCTGTGCCATTAATTTATATTTCACTATTCGTTTCTTTTAAATAAACATGACTTATTCTATATCACATAAATGATGACATTCTGGATTCAGTTTAAGGAATATAAATATGTCATGCCAAAAACACAATGCTCAGCTATTATTAAAACCAAAACCTAAATTATTAAGTTTGCCAGCCTGAAGCATATTAAATCTGAGGTTATAATTTGTGAATGAATTTTCAACATAGCAAATGATAGAACATTGAAGATTTCAATGTAACAACCCCCCCCCCCCAAAAAAAAACTGAAATGACAGCTGATATAAAAAATATGTCAAGTGTGCCATATAGCATATACAAACTAAATAGCTGAGTGCTCTTAACAATGAAGAAATCTGTAATTAAAAATAAAAACATGTACTAAAGACACACAAATTTTTAAATTATTGTTACTTATTATTAAACTACGACTTGCATATCAAAACTCAAAATGAAATTTTCACCAATGATTCACCAATAGTTATTTCAAAGTAATTTATATATAAGATGCAAAATTATTAACATAGCCTCCACGTTACTTTTTGAATTATTAAATTCTAGTGCAATTAGCCATGAATACCAATACTTACATATTTTTCCCTTGACCATGTTTCATAAATAAAACCATCCTAAGCTTTGTGATTTCGCATTAATAATGGATAAATCACAGTACAATCATAAAATATTAGTTTTGGTTTTATGTAACATGATACTCAATAAGCCTGTTTAGTTTTTATAAAGAAGGACGAAAATTAACTGTTATTTCTCTGTTTTTCTCTTGCATTATAAAAAATCTGATGTGTACACCACATGACTTCCTTATATGGAATATTAAATTATACGCATTTTTTCTTGCATTTTATTTAAACTTATTAGATTGAATTAAACCTACTTCGTCGGCAGCGCATAAACCACAACAGAATAAATGCATTCTTTAAAATTCACTTTGTTTACCATAGCGACACTCTGGCACTAGGTTTACTTAACAGTATTATATTTCGTTCATATTATAACTCAGAATGCACAAAATTTATATCATTTAAAGAATTATATAATCATTGCCACATGTTCTATTCAAATACTATAATAAAGCTAGAACTATGTATAAAAGAAATTAAGCAAACAAAACAAAAAAGAAACAGTTTTTCACAGACGATTGAGTATATCTCATTCAATTAATTCAGTTTTCACTTCGCGACAAGGCAAAAATACATAAAACTCAAAATATCTGTATTAAAAATTACGAAGTAAATCTTAAACGCTTATTTCCTCGAAAAAATTCCAGAAAGGATTAAGCATGATTTAAATAATAAATTATGACGTTATCGTTGTTGTTGCGAAGCTAAGTATCTCTAGATTGGCAACAAATCCGCTACTCAGCTGTTTCAAATGTAAACAAGAGCAATGGCGGCCATCAAATTCGGCTTAGCGGCACTTAAACAATTTTAAAATTGTTGATAATTCTAAAAATATTGCATACAGATTTACTAAGGGCATAAAACCCTTAACTGGAAGATAAAAAAACATAATTCAGTCATTTTTAAAGCAAAAAATGTACAATTTACAAACATATAAGAGTAAAGAAACTGAGATCACTGAGCCCGGTAACAGAGTGGATATATTTATAAATATATTTATATATGTTTGGTGGGGCCGATTGAAACCAAAATATGAGGTGCACATCTACATGTTATAGTAGTCTTATATACAAAATTTCAACGTTCTGAGGCTACTCGTTTTTGAGTTATGCGAGATACGTACGTACATACGTTCGTACAGACGCCACAAGAAATTCTCTTCAGAATTCGTTTTAAAGCAGTTTCATAATTTTTTGGGAGGAAAAGACTATTTTATTCTGTCCTTACATACAGATATCATGCAAAAACATCGTTAAATTGCATTCGAAAGTGGTCAAAGTGGATATTTTCTTTGAAATATGCTGCCTGAAGCTTTTCGCGATTACAATACTTCCTTTTTACTTCGTACAAGGAAGTAAAAAGGATGGTTAAAATTTTTGTCCTGCTTTTTACAGAACAACAAATGATAAAGTATTTTCAGAATTACAGAACTGGTTAAATATGTGCACACACTCAATACATTTAAAGAAACTGTGTTCATCAAAATGCAGCAGTGAAAAAAATAAATAAAACGAGGCACAAGTGCATGACACCTCATGCATTGCATTTAAGAGAATTTTTATTGCATCTTGTTCATAAAAAAAGATAGTTCTTAGTTGCCATTAAAAAGATTTGAGCCCTCAATGACTGGGGCATGTTTTAATGATTTTGTTTGCAAGATAATCTTTGATTCAATAATAATTCAAGTTTGAGCTCATTATTTATTTCAGTTATTTATATGCTATATCCATAACTTGTATTCGTTGATTATCTAAATAAAAACTGCATACTTTTTCTTCAAATGCCCACCACAACGACTGGCGTAAATTAGACGAAAACCCCTTCAACTTTAGCGGCTGATGTAAAAATACGTAAGTAGCCAGTATTCTCACAAATGTTTTAAATACAACCATTTACTTTGGTTACAGAAAAATTAATAAAGACAAGAACAACATAATTCAATCATTTTTAAAGCAAAAAATGCACAATTTGCCAGCATAAAAGAATAAAAAAAGACTGAGCTCACGGAGCTGAGTGACAGAGTGGATATATATATATATATATATACTTCTGGTGCAGCAGATTGCACCCAAAAAGGGAGGTGCACAAGTATATGTTTTAGCAGTCTCTTAGGATAAAAAATTTCAACATTCTGAGGCTACTCATTTTTTATTTTTGCCAGATACATACGTATGTATGCATCATTAAATTGCATTCAGTAGCGGTCAATATGGATATTTTCGTTGAAATATGACAACTGAAAATTTTTGCAATTACAATATTTCCTTTACTTTATACAAGCAAGTAAAAATTTACCGTTTTAATTTAAAAAATATTTATCACAGAATTTTTCTGAATTTTTGATAGAAATTAAAGTCATTAAATCAACTGATGAGGAACAAAATTTCATCAAATAAAAGTAAAATTTCACAGTTATAATAATAATATAATTCATAATTAATATTGAAATAAATAAATAAAAAAATAATAATAATTCATAATTAATACTGATATAAAAGTTAACCATCAGTTTTGTTAATAAAATCCTGCAAAACAGTTAATTGTTTTCACCTGCAATAAAATATCACATTCATTTAGGAATATATTGCCAAAAAAGGAAAAAAAAACAGTTAAAATTCATCATGATTAACAGAAAATTTCTTGTCATCATTCACATTCTTAGATAACGGAAAAGCCCAAAATGAAGACTGCAAATTGTTCACATCACGTTCTCTTTTAGCAAAAGCAGAAAATGACGAGATACAGTTTCCAATGAAGTGGTTTGAAAGACCTAATATAGCCAAATCAGTATGTGGTTCAGAATCTGGAAGCTTGTAAGCTTTCACCTGAAATGCAAATTAAAATACATTTTAAAAAACTCTGCCAGAAAGATCTGCATCAAAGAAAATAAAAAATACAATTCTTCTTCATCTTCTTTTCCTACTTCAACAGATAAAAGCTTTAACATATTCAAATCCATCCTTTAAAAAAAAAAATGGTTTAATTTATGAAATTCTTTACATAAAAACAAATGCTCTTTGTCATCAATTTATTTTAAAAAAACTCATTTCTTGCATACCACTATACTCACTTTAAGTGCTATTATAGTTTTCATACTCACAAATTAAATGCCCCAATCAAATTTAAAGCTGAAAGTCAAAGATGGTCTTTTTAAATTTTACTGATAAAATTACATTTAATAAAAATTTTCCTTCATCTTTTAAGTTCTTTCAACACATCTAAAACAGCAACATGTCAGTGCAATTCAAAAACAGTAATTTGGGTTTAAGGAACTTGACCACACACCTCTTACAGCCCCTATTTACCTCCATATTATCTGTTCTCCAAATTGAAATCCCACCTTTACTGAAGGAGATTTAATAACAAGAATGGAATTGAAAAAGAGCAGTTATGGAATCTTTGATGGACAAACTTCCAGACTACATTTTCAAGGGCAGTCATTCATTAAATGATGAAAAAAGTATACTGAGGTATAAGGTCATACTGATAAACATTTTTTTTTTTTAAATTTTATTTCCATTTCCTTTGAAGGTATATCAGGCTGGAAAATTTCAGAAATATGCATCATATTTTTAAAATGAGCTTTTCTAACTTTAACTGTGATTCACATAAATTCTTTTCAAGAAGTTTTTTTTTTCCACCACAAATTATAAAATATTTTATACCATTTAATATAAATTAAAAAGGATTTTTTTTAAAGTTCCTGCATATTACCTAAAACAAACCCATATTTTTTTATTCTAAAGCATTAGATTTAAATCCTTAAAACACATTCATATATCTAGACATTTCAATACAGAATTAAAATTGAATACAGAATTCAGATAGAAAATTGATGCAGATTTAGAATTAAAATAAAACCTTACATTTTACTTAAGCCAAACAATTGTTTAATCTTAATCATAAAATTTAAATCCTGAAATAGTATAAATCTGCAGTCAAATTTATTTAATAATAGAACTTAATTTAGAATTTAAAAAGAAATAAATGTAAATTTGAAAAATATTTAAATTTAGAATGCTTATCTGTTATTTATACAAACATTACAGAATCCTGTTTAACATTAAGTAATACAATACTTATATTATTAAAGAGCATGAATGTTGTTTGATATAACAACATGGTATTTAGGAGTAAATGCAATTACTTGTACACAAATATAGTTCGACCGTCTCCAATGCAACCTTGGTTGGCATTCTCCCAAAACACATAAATTCGTCCAAAAGGAGCGTTAATACTTGCTGCGAATGAGAAAGGTCACATGAAGACCTCAGGAAAGAGAGAATGTATATGCTTGAGGGAAAGAAATTCCCTATCCTTCTACCCTATTTTGAGAATAATTTAGTTCAAATGGTGCATGCGTGTTTGTGCTCATGGTCACTGATGAGGCAGTTGAACCATACAAATTGAAGCAAGACAGGCACCAAGTGCATATTAAGTATCAGCAGATGCATAGAATTTCAAAAAGCACGGATTTTTTTTAAATTTTAAATCTGAAGGCTTTTTTAATTCAAATGCATACCAAATCTGAGAAAGACTGAATCAAAAATTCTTCTTTGCATAAATAGTGATTATAGAACCTAAGTAATGAGGCTACTTTTTTCTTGCAGCATTTCCACTGACTGATTTTGAAACTGAATATAGGAATAATACAGGGTGTCCAAATCAAATGTACCTAATTTGGAGAGGTTGCTCTACTTAACACAGAGTTTAAAAGCATAAGAAAACTGTAAAATTAGATACCACTACTCATAAAGTTTTTATTAAACAATCAGTACAATTGCACGTGAGCTTTCTTAGTAGCCCTGAGAATGTCCAGCTGGTAGTCCAGATTCAGCCATGTCGGATGCAGCATTGCCGGAGTCACAGCAGCAATAGCTGCGATTACAGAGGCACAAAAGTCTTCAATATCACTGATCTTATCACATAGCCCCAAAAGAAGAAATCAAAAGGAGTCACGTCGGGAGGTCTTGGTGACCAGGCAACTGGGCTACCACATTCTATCCATCAGTTAAAGAAAGTCGTATTTAAAAATGCACGAACATGCTTTCCCCAGTGAAGAGGGGCTCCCTCTTGTTACAGTGGTTTGTAAATGCTGCATTTGGGGCATTACGTAAATTTATAATATGTCCAGGTAAACGTTTGCTGTCACAGACGTCTCAGCAAAGAAAAATGGTCCTATGCCTGTATCATATGATAGAGCTCACCAGACATTGATTTATTGTGCTTATTAACATTGTTGCTAACATGAAATGTGGCTTTATCTGAAAAAACGATGCAGTTTAGAAAATCGTGTTCATTTTCGATGCGAGATGACATCTCCACAGCAAATGCTGCATGCTGCAGCCTATCATTTGGTTGCAGTTTCTGCACAATCTGCATTTTATATGCATGCATCCTTAGTTTTCGTTGCAGCTCATCATGAACAGTGTGTGCCTGTCCATGTGGCATGAGTAATGTCGATATTGAGCACCTGTTGTTTAGATGCTCTTCTATGAAAAATATTGTTCTAAGATTTATTCCAGATATTGCTAAATTTAATACTGTAAAGGATCTAAGTAAAAATACAGTGACTAATTTGAAATTGTCAAATTTCATAAAAATATGTATCTGTAAATGAAATGAATTTATATATTGATTGTGTTTAAAATTTCCCTATCTGTTTTAAGAAAAACTAGGATGTTTATGATATCCTGTTATTTTATTTCTTTGTATATGTACGTAACATATTTTTATGAATGTAAGTAACATGTGTTATAATTTACAAAGTATGTAATTTACAAAGTACGTAATGGTAAATTTCACCAGCTCCTATACTTTAAGTTCATATTTTAATTGTTTATTCTATTTAAAGTTATTTCAGGTAGTATGGTGGTATTTCTACTGTTTAATGGGCCTGATTTAGGCCTTGTTTTAGATCTCAATGTTTCTTTAATTAAATAGCTCTTCTAAACTCTGTTAGGCTTCTAATGGCAGTACAGGAAGTTCGACCAGTCATCATGAATAGTGGATTGGGTACAGATAATTCAGAGGCTACCTGCCTGATTGACTGACGAGGACTCTGAATGACAGCTTGTCACACATCTTCCGCACATGAATCAGGATGTGAACGCCGATCACCTACGGATCTTTTCCCTACACTTCTTGTTTCGAGAAACATTTTGTGCCACTTTTTTACGCTCTTAGTCCGGGTGGATTTTTTTTTTTTTTTTTTTTTTTTTTTATAAACTGTCTGAAACATTCTTTGCACTTTTACTACGGATTTGTGTTCTGCATACCAGAGAACATTTGATACATTTGACTTGGACACCCTGTATTTTAGAGGCAGTATATTATGTGTATTTTAGAGGCTGTATTTTAGAGGTATTGTCAATTGATACTTTGGAAGACTGCATAATTAAAATTATAGTCGTTCCTGCTAATCCTCCTCCAGCTGCTTTAGAGCTCATATATTTCTGCAAATTATAAGAGATAATTGTTTTTATATGGTTTGCTTTACAGATAGCAGTAAAATGAACAATAAGGTTGGTCAAGCATTTGTTCTTTCTGAAAACCAATCTAAAAACTGCTATTTTAAGCATTGTGTTCGAAATGAATGCACCACTTTTCAAGCAGAACTTCTCTGCATTTATCTTGCCATTAAGTGGGTGAAGGATAATGGGACTACATCCTCAAGGTACCTTATGTTCTGAATCTCTTTCTTCTTCCCACCTTTTATACAACATTACCAGCAACAACAAACTAGTAATCAAAACTCTCCTAGCATCAGCACACTTAGAAATATGGAAATTTGTATTTGCATTGCTTATATGCATAGTCATCATGGAATTTATGGGAATGAAAAAGATGACTTCTTGATTCAAGATACTTCTGATTTACCCATCAACATCAATATTAGTATTCCAAAGCGTATCAAAAATCCTTTTATTATGAAAAGCTTTCATCTAAGCAGAATGAAGAATATATTTCATCTTGTAACGACGGGTGCACCGAAATATTCTTTCCTTCTATTAACCATAGACACCATTCCAAGTCTTTCTCCTTTACCAATTTTTAACCATCTCAGTTTTTATCTGGTCACACTAAATATACAAGTTACCAGTTTCATTTCAATCTTAGATCAAGTAACTTCTGTGAGTGTTCAGAAAAAGGACCTAAAGATGTAGACACATTTAATTTTTTTCTGTCCCACTTTCGATGATCCTAGATTACGCCTGCAAAATAATTTTAAAATGCTGAATAGGACTTGGCCAGTGAACTTATCTATTGTTGTGAAGTCTAAACTGCTGGACTCTGTTTTTGTTTGTTTTATTAACACATATAATAATGTTTAACATTTTAATTAAATTACTCTTGCAAGCCCCATGTTGCCCATTTGTGGTCATGGGTAGACTGTATGTGTTCAAAATAAGTAAATAAAACGCATACCAAGAAAGGAGAGGCCTACCACATATTCTAATGTTACGATTTTCCAAGTTACATAAGCATGGCTCACAAATGTTTCACATTCATTCAAAGGCATGAGAAAAGCTTACCTTTAAATCCTTCAAATGCTTTTCAATGTCTTTAATCATATGGTCATTATCAGAAGCAACAAATACTGACCGTGCTCTAAGAGCTTTGACAACTCTTCTCAGTTGCATCAAAATAGTTTCTTTTGAAGGAAAGCACAATTCCTGAGTTGCATGACCAAATTCATTTCTGTATCCAAGGCACTGGGGAGCAGCAAATAACAGAGGACTGTGCTCAATATGTTGACAGGCTCTAACCTATGAGAAGTTAGTCACCATTTTTATTACCCTAGTTCAATATTGCAAAAATATTAAATTCCAATAATACTTTTAACATTCAATAGAATTAGTACAAAAATAACATCAATACTAAATTTTAAAGTATTAAAAAGGGGATATAAAACTTGAAAATTCCTCTCAATTATTATACCTGACTTATAAAAATACCACAAGGAAAATATATATATACATTTACTAAATTTTCAGCACAACACACTCCTGCACTCACAGAAAACTTTAACAATTACTTATTTGTACCCTGCCAAAAAGTTGCGGAGAAGTATTCAAGACAAACCTGTATGTTCCCAAAATAGTTATGTTGTAACCCATGATGCTACCAAAAGGTACAGTAGTACCTCCCAATAAGGGACATCCACCAGACCAGATAATTTTTCCATTAAATAGAGGAGTCCCTTCTTCAGAGTGTACATACACTAAAATAATGTAATTTAATTAGAAATCCAGATTGTATCAAACTTTAAATAAATGATATACAAATAAGTAGCATGGTCACGGGTATTTATTTGAACTTGAAGTTAATAAAATAGGTTGTCTTATTTTTAAAAAGTTTAATTATTGCAAAAATGCATGAAATGAACAACATTCTGTATTTATAGAAATTTATTGAAAGTGTACTGCAAGCACTTTTTTTTAACACAGATGTTAAATTCACTGATGATCTTAAGTCCTTCACTGTCAGCAACGGTTAACATAAATTATTTTAATTGGAGGGCGTTTTTAAGGCATCTGTATAGTTTTTTATGTCAACATTTCATCTGGTACTTATTCCTCTTCCTCACTGCTTTCCAAGTTATTTTTGTAAAAGTTCACACCATCAATTACAATTGAAATAAAAGATTTTATGTTGCCACAGATGTCTTCAGTATACAAGTTTTCATTGATTTCTTAATATTTTTGTATTTGTGCTCTGCCACTGATTTTAAAAAGATTAAACAGTTCTTTTTTATCAGTACTATTTTCACTGAGGGCACCCGAAACTGGAATTTCAAAGCCTACTTTCTTAAAACTGTGCTTATTTAAGTGTTTCTTAAAACAGTGCCGATTTAATGAATAACAGCCATTGTTATTCATCAAATGACTGTAAATGTAAAATATTTCGACAACACATTACCAAAGGGAAAAGAACAATTTTTGCTTACCTTGTCTTCTCAGTAGTGCCCAGTGTCATTATAGTTAATCCATACGAAGGTTGCGCATGAGAATTGCAAACGAACACATTTATTTTACACATAATAATAGAAAAAGATTCATTATAATTTTCATAATATATATCAAGACAGCAATAATTAATCATTGTGAGAGAGTTTTAACACTGTCCTTACATGAAGGAGTGAGAAGAAGGAAGAGTGAGTCACTAGCGCACCATCATGGTATTGTCTATCCCCTTATTGGTGGCTGTTCATCACTGCATACCAACAGTAAATGCATTGACATATTTTGCAAGCTGATTGCTGTTTCTGCACGCAGTTTGTCAAAGAACTGCCATAAAAACAATTTTCTGTAATGAACTTTGGAAGCTTCTAATTATACCTGCAGTACTACCAATGTTACATTAGGTGGGAAAAGCACTAATTTTACTGATTTCAATTTTATATATGGTGAGTGGGCAGATGAATTGTCAAGGAAGAGCAGAAGCCTACTATTTGCAGTCATTGTTTCATCAAGAGCAATCAACCATTCTGAAATTATGCTTTGCATCACACTTGACTTTTTGTTATAATGCTAATGGACCGATAAAGCTTTTGGCTTTCTTTGTTTGAAAGTTTTTACTTCTTCATTTGACCTTGGTTGTTTGGCCTTTCCAATTACAAATTGTTGTTCAAAACCTCCTTCCACAACAAAGCAGCATAGTGGTATATTCCTTGAACCTTTTATCACCAGAGCACTTTTTTCCTTTGATGAATAGAGTTTTATAAGACAAAATTTGACAAAATAATTAATTTTCATCTACACTGTAGATATTTATAGTATCATATCCTTCACTAATTTCAATTCACTTTTTCATCCAATCTGTTGCATGCTGTATATCAGTCTGTTACATGTTGCATAGTTACTGACTTTTCTTCACCACAAATAATCTTGAAAGTAATATTATGTCTTTGCTTAAATTTGTCAAACCAACCATTTGACGATTTGAAATTCTGTAGGCACTGAGCCTTTTCTTGCAAAAATACTCCACTTATAAGAATATTGTTTGTTCTTACAGAGCAAAACCAACTGAATACTACTGTATTAGTTTCACATGCTTCAGTTTTTCTAAATTTTACAGCCTTGGAATGTTTATTTGAATTAGTTATCTATGATGTTTTTATTTTTTTTCTCTACCCTTTAAATACAACTTACTAGGTATTTACTTATACCTAATTTCTGCCCTAAATCTCTCAAACTAAGCTTTTCAATTTCTGCTCCATGAATTACATCAACTTACTGTTTTAATATTAATCGCTTCCTCTTCAAAGCCAGGCAGATAACCTATGTAAAAACAACACACAACAACAAAATTATACTTCTTTTGCTTACCAGTTCTAGCAAGAAATAAGAATGAAAGAAGTTTTCATTTTATCCATATTGTGAGATCCCTGTGCCTCGGCAGATGGTCTAGTCATCTTAACATCTTCTCTTTCCCATTGATCTCTGTCTTGAATTGCCTTACAACTTTCTAACACTGCTTTCTTCCCTTTACTGAGAGCTGTAGCAAGAATAACTGGATTTTGAATTCTATGAGTGTGAAATATCCTTTTGATCGCACCACAAAATGCTTTTTCCCAAAGTATTGTGCCTCTTTTTCCTGTTGTAAAGCAATTCTCGAAAGAGATTGATTACTTTTCATTTTATTGTTCCCTTTCTTTCATTAGTCTTTTTTCAAGTATCTTTCATTGAGCATAAATTTGCCTTTGAAACCTCAAAAAGATTACCAACAAAGAGTACTTTTATTTTTATTTATTTCCCTACCTTATTTTTTAACTTTTTTCCAGTGTTCTTTAATAAGAGGTAAATATATTAAGTTGTCAACTGAAAGGGAGAGGGACCAAGAAAATAGCCCCTCAGACAGGGGGGGGGGACTCTACCAGGAGTTATTACTGTATTTATGTGGCAATCCAGATATGTACATAGCACATGTTTATTTTGAATGGTGCAAAAAGCAGAAGCTGTGTGAAGCCAATTTTGTAAATTTCTTCTCTCTCTCTCTTTTTTTTTTTTTAAGTAAACATAGATCCCTGTGTACTTGGGAACAACAGTCCAAAAAAGAAAAATTTCTTGAAAAAAGAAAATGTTTTATTACTAATGATTTTTACTTTTTTAATTTTATTCAATGATTGCTCTAGTATATAATTCTTATCTTGTCACCATTTTGAATATAGCTGTTACCTTTCATGCATTACTTTGATGAAACTCAGTCGGCAATGAGTTCACGAATGCTAAGTCATCAATGAGTTCATGACTTTTAGATGAGGGGTGCAGAAAGCCCTTGCATGTATTCTGGATGTATTACAAAATTCAAATTTATTACATTATAAAAACCTCCAAATTAACAATTACTTACCCAATCTGCACCATTACGCAAATGAATGCCCACAAAAGGCCCTTTAGGTTCCATGGTCATAATAAAATCTTTTGCTTTTTTCAAGATTGTGTCACTCCATATTAAATACTGTTGTAGATCTCTATTCACATCTTGAACAGGAAAAGTTGCTGGAGCTCCAGTAAATGCTAACACTGGATATTTGTCAGGTGGAAATCTAAGTAAAAATGTCATAACACTGATTACATTGAAAATTACTCAACAGCATAAGAAAAGTTAAGAATTAAGAAGATAATTATACCTAGCAAATAAAATACATTCCCCTGTTTCACACAAAATGAAGGCAAATTTTAAACCTATACTTGAAGAACAGTATCTGCTTATTAATTACTAAATGATTCCTGTGGCTGAGAGACTATGGCATATATATATAAATTTTACTTAAATTCCAAGATATTGTTAAATTTAGCAGTCGCCTAGCCCCTAAGATTTAAAAAAAGAAAAGAACAGAAAAAAAGATGCTAAGCTGATATTTGCAAGTGAAGAAAATATTCCATATTGAGGCTCATTTCTACAACATTGTTATGAAAATATTCTTTTTGCTTCAAATATACAACTTTCAAAAATCAAAATTTCTCTGTGTCCCTATAAATGCATGATGTTATTAAAAAAAAAAAAGTTTTAAAAAATGAAATGAATCATTGAAGTGTCTACAGAGCTCCCAAACTTTAAGCTACTTCTTTTTAAAAAAATAATGTTAATAATAAGCATTAGTTATTTAACTGCCTCATCACTGAAAACATTGCTCAGAGTACACCACAAGGGATAGATCAATATTACATGCACAGTAAGGGGAAATAGACAACAACAGACATCCATGCCTTCTACAGGATTTGTACCCAAACCCAACAACATAACAACTGGTTTCACTAATAAGCATACCAAACAAAAACATTATTTGATCCTTTTAATTTATGAAGCAGTGTGAATAACAACACATAGAATTTTAACAAGCACAGATTTAAAAAATGTAACAAATGAAAATAAGGGTAGAATAATAATCATCCCATTTCTTTATACTGCAAATATAATAGGATCTTTTAATTTTTATTATTAAGAATAATTTATTTTTTTCAATAAACAATGCTTTCTCTATCTTGCTAATGACCCACTATTTTCAGCAAATACTGTATATTTCCATGTATAAGCGAAGAAATTTTAGAACATTTTCTAAAGCTAAATTATGGGTGCCAGTTAATACAGATTTACTAATCTCACAAAAAACATGGGTAATTTTCTATTAAATTGGGTGCAAGTGATAAATTGCCAACATAGCACTTAGTTTATATTTCTTAAGTCTGAAAAAAATTAATTTTAAATTATCTGAGTAATTTGTATATGAAAATGAGTTGTTTTATTTTCAAAACTGTTATTATTGGTGATATTTTTTCTCCATTCTCGAACCTTTTTTTCATTTATGGAGAAATGCCGAGCAGCCATATTATAGTTAGAATTTTCATCAAATGCAATCATGTATAGCTTGAAGTGTGGCATATATCAGTTTCTCTTCCCAATCATCTTTCAAACAAAATAAAATGGCAGAGAAAGACTAGCACAGAATGACAAACAAAAAGGGAAAATGTGCTTTTACCAGAGTTAAAATGATCATTGTTAGTATTTTACTTTACAGTTATTTAATTGGAAAATATTCCATCCATTTTATCTGCTTGGCAACAATTTCACCCTAAAAGCAGCATATCTGAGGTGTTTGAATTACAATGTACAACCATTAGAAACTTCTTGCAGGTAGCCATTAGATTTAAAACTTTTATTTATTTTTTTTTTCATTTGTGCTATTATTGTTGTTGTTTATTTTTGTTTAGACAAATACAACTGTTAATTTTTTAAAAGTTTTTAAAAATTTTATTAAAAAAAGTTCTGGTCCCTCAGCTGCTTTCAAATAGTGAATTTGGCCCACATGCAATTTGAGTTTGAGACCACTGGCTTAAGCCCTGTTCCACAAGTGTGAACAGAGTTAATGGATTTTAGGCCTTAGTGCTCTAATAATAATAATGGTTAGATCATCCTATGAACACTCCTTTATGCACTTGTATTCCCACTTATACTACAATATAAACTAATTTTTTTTTAAAAGTAGAAAAAGGCTCCTTATTAAGCATATTTTATGGCAAATTGTTAAAAACTACAGAATGAAATGATAAAATTCAAAAGGTAAAACAGTTATTTTACTATTAGATAAATCAAGCATTATGCATAATGTTATGCATAGCTTACATTTTCAACAATTCTCTGGACTCACATGTGACAATCAAAATACTTCTTGAAAATCTCACATGAAAAGCTTCAACTGCAAACCTATTGCTAAAGCATTTTATGTGATGATGATAAATTATTACATCATAAATCATGTAATATAGAAATTTATTTTATACTTGGAAATAGAAAGAGTGACAAGAGTATATATATATAAAAAAAAATACGAAAATAAATCATGAAAAGTATTAAGCACACATTTTCAAGGTTATCACATCCCACTTGCCAGCTGCAAATTCGGCGACCTTTATTTTGAGACCTTCAGCAACTATTCAGTTACACATGTTTTTAGCTATACTTATCTTGGTGGAATGTTCTAAAAGTGAACAAATACTTTTTACAGTGAACTAATCCATTTTGAACCTACTTTTACAGAAATAAATAAAGACATAGGTTCATGTTGAATATTATACAAATCTAACCACTGTGAAAAATTATTCAAAATTTAAATCTAGATTGGTATTAGTTTTATCACTCACATCTGCCGTTGTCAAGCTGAGGAATCTGTGTCAGTCTTCCTTGAAATCCAGAATCTTAACCTAATACTAAATTTTGTTTAATTCTGAATTTTAAATTGATGTACACTGCAAAAACGAAGAGACAGTTCTATATCTCCCATTCTACTGGGCCGATTGATGAAATTCAAATTGCATTTTTCATGTCTCGAAAGCACGACTTAGGGTATATATGGAATTTATATATAGTATTAATCTAACATAGGTATTTTAACATAAAATCAGACTTTTTCTGATATGACATGTGAATTTTTTTCCATATTTCGATTCTATGACTCAAATAATGCCTAAATATTAAATTTTGTAAAATAGGGTGTTTAGTATTTTTTGTTACCAAACGAATTACTAGTGTGTCTTTGCAACAATACATGGCATTGCTGCCTGATGATTCAATTCTGGTTGCAATAGTAACGAACTTTCAACTCATAACTTATGTGATTTGTATTTTATTTTATTTATTTATTTTTTTTTTTATTATTATTTTTTTTATTGCTACAGTGCTAAGAGTGAAGTGTGCTGTGTCGTCACGTAGATGGCATTCCTTCTATTTAAAAGTGTTATGTAAAATAAATAAGTGATATTACAGTCCGCTTACCTTTGTTTTTGTGAACTTATTCTTAACATTCTTGGTCCGTGTAGCTGACCGCCGAGAGAAGAGTTAGCGAGCTTTGGATATGATGTGATTTATTCAACTGTTAGCAAATAAAATCACTTTGGATTTGTGGATTAATAATCAGCTTAGTGTACTTTTGATTCGATTTGTGGATTATGCGTGTGACATCCGTGGTGAAATCAGTTTCGATTTGTGGGTTATGAATGTGGCATGGTGTAGTGCAGAAACCTCAGCATTGGGGTGAGTACGTTCCAATTTTTCATCTTTTTCTGCTAAAAGTTGTTAGTATAATATTTATTGTTGTTCATAATGGCTGATTTGAAACCAGTTTTAACTAAAAAGAAGGTTCTAAAAAGCAATATAACAACATTTAAAGGCAAGGTAAATTCGAATTTAGAACAAGCAGAAATTTTATAGGTAAAGTTGTTCGAAACGAAACTAAATGCTTTTAACAGCGAGCTTTGTTCTATTTATGAGGAAATATTTTTGTTGTGTCCTGAAAAAGATTGTGATACATTCATTACGGAACAACAAACAATACGAGAAACTTTAGATGAATTATGGATAACTATAAATAAAATGTTACAGAAACTTTCCAGTGACTCTGTTATCGAAACAAGTAGTGTAGCAAAAGTAAATTCGTCTGACGTTCAATTACCAAAATTAGAACTTTCTACCTTTACAGGGGAAAATATAGATGAGTGGATTAGTTTCTATGAAAGGCTAGTGTAGATAACAATCCGAATATTTCTAAATGTCAAAAGTTTCAATATTTAAAGGCTTTTTGTAAAAAACAGGCTCTGTCTATTATTGAGTCAATTCCTATTTCTGATGCTAATTATGATATAGCGTTGCAACTTTTACAGGAACGTTAGTCTAATGAAAGAGAATTAACTAAAATATTTAATTTGCCAAATGTTTCTGATTCAGCTCAAGTTATTTTACATTGTTTTGATGTAGTGAATGAATGTGTACGCTCTTTGAGAACTCTTAAACTAGAAGTTTCTGATCTTTCTGATGTTCTTTTTGTTATCTGATAATGAGAAATTAGATAAAAACATAAAATTTTAGGTGGGAAAGAACTTTGAAAAAAGATGAATTAGGTACTTTAGATAATTTACTCCAGTTTCTAAAAGACCACGCTAGAACCCTTCAGAAAAGTAGAAACCAATCTAAAGATTTTAGGAAATTTTCTAATTCCAAAGTAACTTCTTTAGTGTCGAGTAAAAACAGTTGCATGATGTGCAAGGAAGATCATTGTCTTCAAAATGTGGTAGGTTTTTAAACTTAAGTGTCCAAAGAAGAACCGAATCTGTTAAGAAACACAAACTTTGTTTTAATTGTTTATCTTCTCAGTCTCATTTAGTGCAAAACTGTCATAGTTTACATAAATGTATGATGTGTAAGTTACCTCATCATACTGTGTTTCATTTTGATTGAAATATCAAAACTAGTGAAAATGAGAAACCAAAACAAACGTCCTCACTCTTCCCCCAGTGTCGAAGTAGTTCTTGTCAGCGAATGAAGTGTTCTTACCAAAGAATGAAGTCGTTACAAATGCCACAACATGTACAGGACAATTTAGTTATTCTAAAGGTGAATCAAATTGTGTATTACTGTGTACGGCTCTCATTAAAGTTAGTGATTACAATGGTAAAGCCATCCCTTGCAGGGCTTTACTAGACTGTGGCAGTGAAGCCAGCTTTATAAGTGAAGAGTGTGTCAATAAACTAAAGATAGGTAGATTTAACAAAA